TTTGGCTGTTTGTCTACTATGGCTGGAGAGTAAAAGCTTCGGTGGAGCTGCAAATAGCCTTTTTATCGACAGCCCGAAACTGTGTGTGACACTTCTCGAGGAGAGACGGAGAAGAAAAAAGGGTAAAACCCCTAAAATAATATCTATCTATCTATATATCTATCTATATATCTATCCATCTATCCGTCCATCTATCCATCTATCCATCTATCCGTCCATCTATCCATCTATCCGTCTATCCGTCCATCTATCCATCTATCCATCCATCTGTCCATCTATCCAGCTATCCATCCATCTATCTATCTATCAGCTATCCATCCATCTATCTATCTATATATCTATCCATCTATCTATATATCTATCCATCCATCTATCTATCCATCTATCTATCCGTCCATCTATCCATCTATCCGTCCATCTATCCATCTATCCGTCCATCTATCCATCTATCCGTCCATCTATCCATCTATCTATATATCTATCCATCTATCTGTCCATCTATCCATCTATCCGTCCATCTATCCATCTATCCGTCCATCTATCCATCTATCTATATATCTATTCATCTATCTATATATCTATCCATCTATCTGTCCATCTATCCATCCATCTATCCATCTATCCATCTATCCGTCCATCTATCCATCTATCTATCAATACATCTATCTATCCATCTAACCGTCCATCTATCCATCTGTCCGTCCATCTATCCATCTATCCGTCCATCTATCCATCTATCTATCTATACATCTATCTATCCATCTATCCGTCCATCTATCCATCTATCCGTCCATCTATCCGTCAGCTATCCATCTATCTGTCCATCTATCCATCTATCTGTCCATCTATCCATCTATCCATCTATCCGTCCATCTATCCATCTATCCGTCCATCTATCCGTCAGCTATCCATCTATCTGTCCATCTATCCATCTATCCGTCCATCTATCCATCTATCTATATATCTATTCATCTATCCATCCATCCATCCATCCATCCATCCATCCGTCCATCCGTCCATCCATCCATCCATCGTCAGTTAAGACAGGAAGAAAAACATTTGACAGCTTTTGCTGTTCATCGTAATGAATAATGGATTTGTAACTCAGCTCCTCACTTGGAGGCAATGGAAAAAAAGAGCTAAATTACCGTTGCTCATTAAGTACAGTTAGAGAAAAGTTGAAGTGTTTTTCTGTCGTTCTGCGTTTGATCTTGGCGAACGTACAAGGGGAGGGAATTAATTAACAACTCTCCATGGGAGGGATAGACAGGGATGTAGAATTGGCTCTGAGGGAGGGAAGTGTGTGTGTGTGTGTGTG